TACGATAACTGACCCACAAGACAGTAAAACACTGGACCGTCTGTATGCAAATGCTCCGGATGCATACAGTGCCAACTGTGAGCCACATGGGGAGGACATCAACAGCATGTCGGACAGAATACATTAAATTATGTAAACAAACCACCTTGCCAGCCCGAACTGTTAATGCTTTCCCAATAACAAGCCCTGGATCACCACTGAGTTTAAAGTTCTTCTCTACACCATACTGCTGCTTTCCCAATAACAAACCCTGGATCACTACTGAGCTTAAAGTTCTTCTTAACACCATACACCCTCACTGCTTGCAAAGCTTCTGCCCTCCCCCACTGTAACCCCCTGGGGTGCTCCTTGGAAATAACCCCCCCACCTTCAAAGTGCTGCTCCTCCACTGAAGGGATTAACACCTTCCACCTCCCCCGCCTGTCTGTGACAACTGGCCAGGTGACGAGACAGCTGGAGAGGCTTCATCAAAGCAACGCCCTGGGACCAGACAGTATCAGCTCAAGGATTCTGAGGTCCTGTGCCAGCCAATTAGCTGCTATTCTCCAGCATCTCTTGTGTGTCAGGACCCCATGTTCAACACCATCCAGCCAGTTCTTATGAGGGAGAAGCTGCAAGATATGGGGGTAGACACATCCATCGTCTCCTGGAATAAGGACTATCTGGCAGGCAGACCACAGTTTGTCTGGCTGGGCAGTGTTTTGTCTGATGCAGTGGTGAGTATTACAGGAATGCATTTAAGGTTAAACTAAAAACGTTCCTTTATGATAAAGCCTATAGTTAGGGCTGGATCAGGTGAGTCCTGAACCATCCCTTAGTTATGCTGGTATAGGTCTAGATTGCTGGGGGAACTCCCATCATCAAATGAACACGTCTCCCCTTCTCTCTGTCCCCCTAAACTAATTTATTTTTTTTAAAACATGTCAATCACTGTTTCTTTTTTCTCTCATAGTCCCTCTCTCTCTTTCTCTCATTGCAGGTATATCTGACTCCAGAACTATTACTATTATTATTAACAACAATACTTATTAGTAATTACTTATTATATGAATTGTTACATTTATCAATAACTTTTTTACACTGTTATTGTTTTCATTTTAACTAGTCAGAGCTGATACCTGATGTTGCTCAAGGGTTCATGGTCTCTCTCCCCCTCCCCACTATCACTCTCTCTTCTCTTCCCTCTTCCATCCATCTCCCCTCTCCTCCCCATTTTTCTCTGCTCACTCCAACCAGTCGAGGCAGATGACCACCCACATTGAGTCTGGTTCTGCTAGAGGTTTCTTCCTTTTAATGAGGGAGTTTTGCCTCTCCACAGTCGCCAAAGTGCTGCTAATTGTGGGAACTGTTGGGCTTTACCTGCTCTTGAGATAATGTATATTATGATTTGGCACTAAACAAATAAAATTGAATTGAATTGAACTGATGGGAGGAAGGATGAGTAAGGAGTGCTGGTGGATGGTTTTATAGAGTGTGCCACTAGAAATCATCTGCTTCTGAATGTGGCCAAGACCAGGGAGATGGTGGTCAACTTCAGGAGGAAGAGGATGCTTTCACAGCCACTGTGTATTCTGGGAGAGGATGTTGTGACAGTTGAGGATTACAAATACCTGGGTGTCCACATTGACATGGACTGAAGTGGAAAACCAACACAGATGCTGTCTACAAGAAAGGAGTGAGTAGACTCTATTTCCTGAGGAAGCTGAGATCTTTCAACGTGTGCAGCAAGATGTTGGAAATATTTTATCAGTCTGCTGTAGCCAGTACAGTATTTTTCTGTGGTCTGCTAGGGGAGCAGCATTGGAGCCAGTGACACCGACAGACTGAACACGCTGATTAAGAAGGCTGGCTCCGTCATTGGCTGCACACCGGACACTTTTGAAGTGGTGGTGGTGGAGAGGAGGGCGATGAATAAGCTTTTATCCATCATGGACAATCAAGAGCACCCTCTCCACCTGGTGGACAGACAGCGGAGCACTTTCTCCAACAGACTGGTTCAGCTCCGCTGCCGCAAGGACAGATTCAGGAAATCTTTCCTGCCCACAGCAATAAGACTGTACAATCCACACCTCTGATAATACTTCTGAAATAACTGTTAATTTACCTGTCTTTTACAGATGTTATATTCATATTACTGCATATAGTCATGTTACTTGAGTCATTTTCCAAAGAAATGCTGATATTTTGCACCTTGCCTCTTTGTAGGCTCTTGTATTTAGCTTTTTGTTTTTTACTCTTTGTGAATGTCCCTGACCTGCTGCTTTGATACAACAATCTTCCAAATGGGATCAATAAGGTACACCTATCTATATATCTATCTATCTATATGGAGCTATTAAGACCTGGACTCTGATCATGTGACAGAATTTTGGTGCTGATTGCACAATGTACAGTGGAGTTGAAAAAAACTTGTTTCAAGCTGATCAGTAGGTGGCACTATCACTGTCACTTCATATAGACTAATAGATCTGTTCAAGTCAGGGCTCTAATGAAGCCTGACAAATTTGGGGCTGATTGGATAATGCACAGTGGAGTTTAGAAAAAAACATCCTTTTCATAGTGAATCAGTAGGTGGTGCTATGACCCTGAGTTAATATTGAGATATGGAGCTGTTCAGGCAGGATCTTTGATCAATGGAAAATGCACAGTGAAGTTATAACAATTTATTTTCAAGGTTTGAGGAAATGTCACTTCCTCTGATGAGGAAGCTTTGTCCCTTGAGCAAACCATGGTCACACACTGCCCTCTAGTGACCAAAGATGCAGCAACAGCTCAATCATCTTGATTTGACATCAATAAGGACTATCTTTGCTGCACCGCTGTGGCTAAAACCCTTGAGGAAAGGTCAAATTTGTGACAATGAAGTACGCTGAAGTCTTTTCTTGTAAACCAGCCAGGATCAGTGCATCAAAGTATAAAACATGTCACCATCTGTCGGCAGCCGGTGGCGCTGTGACGATGAGTCATAATTGACATATGGATCTATTCAGGGTGGGAATGTGATCGTGTTAAAGACATTAGGGGCTGATTGGACAGTGCATAGAGGAGTTACAATAAATCCCTCTTTCTGGCAAATCATAAAACTTTGACGCCATACCACAGTCATACCCTGTGACATTATGGGGGGGGGGGATTGAACAATATATGCTGAAGTTACAGCAACTTTGGGTGTTATGGCGACTTGTTGAAATGTGACGCCACGCCTCTAACATGGTGTTCGACAAAAACTCAGTTTCCATATGCCTACATTATCAATGTCTTGAGGCCCTTATGACAAAGTTTGACATGGTTGTGTTCAGGCCCGAGGAGGACTTAATCAAAGTGTATGATGTGCAAAATACAAGACATTTTTTGTTGTCATGATCAAGTCATGATTTCTGTTTAGATGTCATTAGGGTGGAACTCTTGTCTTGTTTGGAGTAGACTGAACCATGTACAGTATGTCCGAGATACAACAATCTTGTGTTTTGATGGCGAATCATCAAACTTTGACACCACACCAAGGTCACACCCTGTGAGAAAAACTCATAATTTGAGGTGGTTTTAATCTGCATGTTGTTAAGATGACACTCATTGAATTTGAAGTTGATCTGATGAAAGCTGTAGGCGGAGTTTGTTAAAATACACCAAAATACACTAAAATGGCCAAAATGGCAGACTTCCTATAGTGTTTTTCATAATGCTCCTTGACACTTTTTTCTTTGCCTGGTCATGATACCGATTTCTCGTGAGATTGGTTAAAGCAAACTGAGGGGCTGCGTTCTAGGTGGCGCTGTTCAGCAATCTTGCTACGCCCATTTCAAATTACTCCAGAATACGTACATTGTCACCTCTTTTGAATTTTGCCCAACCTTTGGTGAGTTTTTGAGCATGTCTAGGCCCTCAAAAAACACGATTCATTTGCCTGAAAAAAAAAAGAAGAAGAATCGGACCAACTTCAAAACGACGGGCCAAAACTGTTGAAAAATTCAGCAGAAACGCCTACAATGGCAAAGAAAGCACATTAGTTCTTTTTTGGTTGTTGGCACTAGTAACTGCTCTATACCCTGTATTTTTGCATTAATGCACTTGGCCTTGCCCATTCACTCGGCCGAGGTACGTCAAAATTGACCTTGCGTGGAGGGGGGTGCCAACATGAAACTATGGGGTTTGGCAAATTAAATGTGAAAATTAATTTAATAGTAGGCCCTACTTATAATTCAAAATGTTAATTTGAAAACTAGCAAAATATCATCTTGATACTGTCCAGCAAGCCTCCAAGATGCAGGCGCAGTGTGAGTGAAAGGAAGAGAGCGAGCAGAATCTGGACAAGGTGAATAAATTAATTATTTCATTATTTATGAATCTGATACCGAAAAACAAATCACGGTCTGTTTTTCGTAGTTTTGATTTTTTGCTCAGATCAAAACAAGG